CGGTTTCCCAGTTAATGTAATGGGATTGGGATCGGCCCGAACCCCACCCTTTTCCTGGTACCCCTCACCTATCTCCAGCAGGGATTGGGATCAGCCTGAAACCCGCCCTTTTCCCGGTTAATATGAATGGGATCGGGACCGGCCCGAATCCCAYTCTTTTCCCGGTGTCCCAGGACCCGGTTAATGGGAATGGGATCGGGACCGGCCCCAACCCCGCCCCTTTCCGTGTGCCGGTTTCTCGGTTAATGTAATGGGATCGGGACCGAACCCAACCCCGCCCTTTTCCCAGTGTCCCAGGACCCGGTTAATGGGGATGGGATCGGGATCAGCCCAAACTCCGCCCTTTTCCCGGTGTCCCGGTGTCCGGTGCCCCTCACCTGCCTCCCCACGGCCCCGGCGCCCCTCCGGCAGGTCCGCGAGTAGAAGCGGAGGCAGTTCCTCCTCAGGCAGGGTTTGCAGCGCTCCCACAGCTCCAGCACCGAGGAATTGCAGCGCTCGCCCCGCTCCTCCAGCTCCCGCTCCTTCTGCCGCGCCAGCTGCACCGCTTCCTGCCGGGAACGCCGCGCTGTCAGCCCGCTACGTGTGCCCGGAGTACCGGCGGGCTGCGATCCCCGCTCGGTGTGCCCGGGAGGCGGCGATCCCCGCTCGGTGTGCCCGGTGTGCCCGGGAGCCGGCGATACCCGCTCGGTGCGCCCGGGAGGCTGCGATCCCCGCCCGGTGTGCCCAGGACTCACCGATCCCATTCTCAGACTCCCAGGACGCACAGATCCCATTCCCACACTCCCTGGATACAGCGATCCCAAAAACGGCATTCCCACACTGCCGGGATGCACCGATCCCATTCCCACACTCCCGGGACGTACCGATCCCATTCCCACACTCCCGGGACGCACCGATCCCATTCCCACACTCCCGGGATGCACCGATCCCAAACACGGCATTCCCACACTCCCGGGATGCACTGATCCCATTCCCACACTCCCGGGATGCGCAGATCCCATTCCCACATCCCTGGATGCACCGATCCCATTCCCAGACTCCCGGGATGCACCGATCCCATTCCCACACTCCCGGGATGCACCGATCCCATTCCCACACTCTCAGGACGCACCGATCCCATTCCCACACCCTCAGGACGCACCGATCCCATTCCCACATCCCTGGGATGCACCGATCCCATTCCCACATCCCCGGGACACACCGATCCCATTCCCACACTCCCGGCACGCACCGATCCCATTCGCACATCCCTGGGATGCACCGATCCCATTCCCACGTCCCTGGGTTGCACCGATCCCATTCCCACATTCCCGGGACGCAGCTATCCCAAGAACAGAATCCCCGGGTCCCAGAACAAAACCCACAACCCCCTTGACCCGACACAGCAGCCCCAACTCCCGGGATAAACCAACCCCTGGCACARCATTCCCTGTTCCCGGGACACTCCAACCCCTGGCACAGCATTCCCTGTTCCCRGGACAYATCGATCCCTGATACAGCATCCCCCATTCCCGGAACTGACACAGCATCCCCCATTCCCGGGATGCCATCTCCCGTTCCCAGGATGCACCGACCTTCTCATGGCATCCCCCATTCCCGGGATCGTTCCCGGGAGTGTTCCCAGGACACTCTGACCCCTGACACAGCGTCCCCCATTCCTGGGACTGACACAGCATTCCCTGTTCCCGGGACATCCCAATCCCTGACACAGCATCCCCCATTCCCGGAACACCCCAATCCCTGACACAGCGTTCCCCATTCCCGGGATGCCATCCCCCATTCCCAGGGCACACTGACCCTACCATGGCATCCCCCATTCCCAGGACTGACACAGCATTCCCTCATTCCCGGGACACATGGATCCATGACACAGCATTCCCTGTTCCCGGGACTGACACAACATCCCCCATTCCCGGGACACTCTAATCCCTGACACAGCGTCCCCCATTCCTGGCACACACCAACCCCTGGCACAGCATCCCCTGTTCCTGGGACTGACACAGCATCCCCCGTTCCCGGGACACTCCGACCCCTGACACAGCATCCTCCATTCCCAGGATCCCAAGCACAGCATCCCCACTTTAGGGACACCCCAATCCCTGACACAGCATCCCCCATTCCTGGGACACTCCAGCTCCAGGGATAACAACCCCCGTTCCCAGGATCCCAAGCACAGCATCCCCACTTTAGGGACATCCCAATCCCTGGCACAGCATCCCCCACTCCCGGGACTGACACAGCATTCCCTATTGATCATTGATCCATGAGACAGCATTCCCTATTCCCGGAACACTCCAATCCCTGGCACAGCATCCCCCATTCCCAGGACTGACACAGCATTCCCTCATTCCCGGGACACTCCAACCCCAGGGATAACAACCCCCGTTCCCAGGATCCCAAGCACAGCATCCCCCACTCTAGGGACATCCCAATCCCTGGCACAGCATCCCCCACTCCCGGGTCACATCAATCCCTGACACAGCATCCCCCGTTCCTTGGGACACTTTGACCCTCCCATGGCATCCCCCAATCCCAGGACTGACACAGCATTCCCCGTTTCCCAGACCCCAAACACGGCATCCCCCACTCCTGGGATGGCATCCCCCATTCCCAGGACACTCTGACCCTCCCATGGCATCCCCCATTCCCAGGACACTCCGACCCCTGGCACAGCGTCCCCTGTTGCTGGGACACATCAATCCCTGACAGAGCATTCCCTGTTCCCGGGATGGCATCCCCCATTCCCAGGGCACACTGACCCTACCATGGCATCCCCCACTCCCGGGACTGGCATCAACCCCCATTCCCAGGACTGACACAGCATTCCTGGTTCCCAGGACACACTGATCCCTGACAGAGCATCCCCCGTTCCCGGGACGCATCGATCCATGATACAGCATTTCCTATTCCCGGCACACTCCAACCCCTGGCACAGCATCCCCCAATCCCGGGACTGACACAGCATCCCCTGTTCCCAGGAC